TCTATGCTCTTCAACACTTTAAAGAGGTCTTCTCCAGCAGATTTGTCTAGTCAATATATCATTCGATTTATTGACTGCTGCTCCCCTGAATGTTGATGGTTGATCAGAGCAAAATAAAGTATTTGAAGACAGTGATAGAGCTCCCCACTCCGTGTACCATCAGTTAACAGTATTTCTCTCTATTCATTTTAGTTCTCTTTTTTTTTTCAAACACTCAGGCATATATAATAATTTACACCTACAAATGACACGTTCTGCAAGTCTGTCTCCGGGTCTGTCTCCTGGCCGCTCTTAATCCCTCTCTTCCCAGCTGTTCCCTCTCTGCATGTTCCTATCTCTGTCTCTATCTGTGGTGTTGCTGCTTCTCTGGATAAGGTCCCGCATTCCGCTTGTGCTCTTCTCCCTTGATGGTCCTAGGGTCCTTTGTTTCTGTACTGTAAGATTAACTATTCCCCCATTTTTGTTACAAAACTTCTACCTTTACAATTGTAACAGTCACAATTAGTCATAACAATTACTCACTATTGAATCATAAGAGTCTTATCCCCATCTCTTTTTACCAGACCCTTCTAGACAAGATGAAAACTATTCAGCGAAGACTGTATCTTCCCCCACACACTCTTAAACTAAACTCCCTCTTGAAACCTTGTAAGCCAGTCACTTTGAGCCTTTATTCTTCTCTTCCTCTGACGCTCCAGTTTACCAAGTATAATGTCCTCCAGGAACTGGTCACTCCTGATTATATGTCCAAAGTATGAGAGAAGAAGTCTGGCCATCCTGGCTTCCAAGGAGCATTCTGGCTGTACTTCTTCCAACACAGATCTGTTTGTTCTTTTGGCAGTCTATGGTACTTTTAATATTCTCCTTCATCACCATAACTCAAATGCATCAATTTTTCTATGGTCTTCCTTATTCACTGTCCAACTTTCACATGCTTATGAGTTATTGAAAATATCATGACTTGGATCAGGCTCAACTTAGTCCTCAAACTGACACCTTTGCTCTTCAACATTTTAAAGAGCTCTCATGCAGTAGGTTTGCCTAATGCAATACGTTGACTGATTTCTTGACTGCTGCTTCCATGAGTGTTGATGGTTGATCCGAGCAAAATGAAGTCTTTGACAACTTCAATCTTTTCTCCATTAATCTTGATGTTATTTATTAGTCCTGAGGTGAGGATTTTTTTTTTTTTTCTTTACATTGAGGTGCAAATTATACTGAAGGCTGTGGTCTTTGATCTTCATCAGCCTTGTTTTGACTAATGCTATGGAGCTTCTCCATAGTCTCTTTCTACAGATGTAGTGTTTGGTTGTATATATTGTTGTTAGGTGCCGTCGGGTAGGTTCCAACTCATATCGACCCTGTGCACAACAGAACAAAACACTGCCTGGTCCCGTGCCATCCTCACAATGATTACATTTGAGCCCATTGTTGCTGCCACTGGGCCAATCCATCTCATTGGGGGTCTTTCTCTTTTTCAGTGACCCTTGGCTGTTTTATGTATGTGTAAACATGGACTGATAATCATAAGGTTGGTGGCTCAAACCATATACAGGGTCACCATGAGTCAGAACTAAATCTATGGTACTTAACAACAATATATTTATTGGTAGCATAGTGAGTTATGAGTTGGGCTGCAAAACTCAAGGTCAGCAGTTTAAATCTACCAGCTGCTCAGTGAGAAAAGAGAAGGCTTTCTGCTCCCCTAAAGATTTACAGCCTCAGAAACTCTAGAGAATGTTACTGAGTCAGGACTGACTCCATGGCACACAACAACAATCACCACCACCCATCTATACGCTGCTGTTATGTGCTGTCGAGTTGGTTTTGACTCATCGTCACCCTATGCCAAACAAAATCAAACACTGCCTGATTCTGCATCATTCTTGCTATTGTTATTTTGAGCCCATTGTTGCTGCCACTATGTCAATCCATCTTACTGGGGGTCTTCTTCTTTTTCACTGACCATCTACATATCCGTTTTCCAATGGCTGGTCCCTCCTGACAAAACATGTTCAAGAGCTGAAGTCTCCCATCCTCAATTCTAAGAAGCATCCTTCTTCCAAGATTGATCTGTTTGTTCTTCTCGGAAGACCAAGGTAATTTCAATATTATTCTTTGATATCATAATTTAAATGCATCAAATTTCTATAATCTTGCTTATTCATTGTCCAACTTTCACCTGCATATGAAGAGACTGAAAATACCATAGCTTGGGTCTGGCACACCTTAGTCCTCAAACTGACATCTTTGCTCTTTAATATTTTTAAATGTTCTTGTGCAGCTGATTTGCCTAATGTAGTAAATACATCAATTGAGTTCTTTTCTTTTCTTTTATGGTAAAGCAAGCAAGGTTTAATATACTGGGTATACAGGAGACAAGGGGACTGCAGATCATTCAAAGACTGTCTCTCTAAAAAGAAAAGGAAAGAGAATTTATAATGATCGTTTGCTTTCTTCATATATGATGTTCTTTTTTCTTTTTTTTAACTTTTATTGTGAATTGAGTGAAAGTTTACAGGACAGATCATCAGTTTTACATTCAACAAATCATATTTGTTTCATTGCAATGATTACAAACAATCCCCTCCATTTACCATCAGTTAACAGCATTTACCTGTATCTGCTCCCCCCCCTTTTTATGTACACATTGTTGTTGTTGTTGTTGTTATGTGCCGTGGAGTCGGTTCCGACTCATAGCGACCCTGTACAGGGTTTCCGAGGCTGGAAATCTTTACGGGAGCAGAAAGCCTCATTCTTTCTCCCGTGGAACAGCTGGTAGTTTCGAACTGCTGACCTTGCGGTTCGCAGCCTGATTCGTAACCACTACGCTACCAGAGCTCCTAATGGAGGTGGTAGCTCAAAATACCAACAGAGAGGGAAGGAATCTTCACATCAAATATCAGTGCTATCCCTTAGGCAACTTAGACATTGACTACCTAAAATGAGGGTGTGATAAAGGTTCGAAGTGATTGGTATGTACACATACCACACACAAAATATACGTTTGTTTAAATGTCCAGAGATAACCTTTTGCAAGTCAGCCTTCTGTTCACAGGCACACAGTCTTTCTCATTCCATGGGCCTAGAGTCTTCAGCTGCTCTCTCTATGCCATCGCCTCTGCCACCTTTTCTGTTTAGGATCCCAAGTTCCACTTATGTTCTTCCCTCTTGATGGTGCTAACGTCCTCTGTTCCTGAAATGAAAGCTTAACTACTCCCCCCTTTTAGTTACACATCTTCTACATTTACAGTTGTGACAATTACAATTAGTCCTGCTAACAATTACTCACAATTGAATCATAAATTTTTATCCCCATATTCCTCCACCCCCTTTCACCAGACCCATCTAGACAAGAGGAAAACTATTCAGTGGGAAAACAAAACAAAAAAACTATTCAGTGGAGAGCCTACACTGTTTCACTGGTATCCATGTTTTCATCTTCGGGTACTATATCAATGTTCCACTGGGATTCATAGTATTTTCAGTAGCTAGACATTCAGCAGTAGTCTGTCTCTCCTTTTTCTTACTCTTTCCCTCGTCTGGAAGCTCCACTGAAACCTGTGCAACAAGAGTGGAGCTCTGGTAGCATAGTGGTTACATGTCAGGCGGCTAACCTCAAAGTCAGCAGTTCAAAACTACCAGTGGTTCCACAGAAGAAAGGTGAGGCTTATTGCTCCTGTAAAGATTTACAGCCTCAGAAACCCTATGCAGGGTTGCTATGAGTCGGAACCAACTCCATGGCACATAACCACCACTATCAAGGATGACCCTGCTGGTATTTAAAATACTGATCATGTAGATTGCAGCATCACAGTAACACACAAACCACCACAGTACAACAAACTGCCAGAGGTGTGGTAGAATATAATGTTACCTGGAGGTTTTTTGTAAATGTTCTTTATCAAGTTGCAAGAGTCTTTCCTATTTCTAGTTTTTGGAGAGTTTTCCTCATGGATGAATATTGAATTTTGTCCTATGATTTTTCTGCATCATGAAGTGATTATACAACTATTCTTCTTACATCTGTTCAATGGCAATTTGCATTATTAATTTCAGAATGTTGAACCAGTCTTGCACCCCTGAAATAAATCTCACATGCCACGATGCATTATCCTCCATATTTTTTGTTTGATTTTAAATGCTGATGTTTATTTTGTTAATGATTTCTTGTCTGTATTCATAAAGGATGTTTGTCCTGCAAAGGCTGGCAAACTACAATCCAATGTGTCAACTATTTGTATTTATAAGAAAATTTTTATTGAAAACAGCCATTCCTGTTCATTTTCATATTGCTTATGACTCTATGTTACAACAAGGAGCTCTAGTAGCGTAGTGGTTACGAATCAGGCTGCGAACCTTAAGGTCAGCAGTTCGAAACTACCAGCCACTCCGTGGGAGAAAGATGAGGCTTTCTACTTCCGTAAAGATTTACACTCTCGGAAACCCTGTACAGGGTCACTATGGGTCGGAAACGACTTGATGGCACTTAACAACAACAACAACAACAACTATGTTACAACAGCCAAGTTGAGTGCTTGTAACAGAAACTATGTGGTCTGCATGCCTAAAATATTGGCTATCTGGTCATTTAAGAAAAGCATACAGATTCCTTGCCAAAGAAATGTTTTCTTACAATGTCTGTTTCTGACTTTGGTGTCAGAGTACTGCTTCATAGAATGAGTTGAGAGATTCCGTCTTCTTCTATTTTCTGAAATTGTTTATGTAGAATTGGCATTATTTCTTTCTTAAATATTTGGTAGCATTCACCAGTGAGGCTATCTAAGCCTGCATATTTTTTTTCTTTTTTGAATGATTTAAACTATGAAATTAATTAATTAGAAGCATTCAGGTTATTTTTCCTTCATGATTTCAGATTATTTTTCCTTTGTGAGTGTACTTTGATAGTGTTTCAAAGAATTTGCCCATATTAACCCAACTCAATTTTCAAACATGAGCATAATCTTATTTGTTGGTTTTTTTCCTGCTATTGTTTTTTCTCAGATCTGCCCCTCCTCTCTTCTACCCCAGCCAACAAAATCTTCCAACTGCTTGATTTGGCCACTGGGAAGCCCTGAAGGGAAACAAAAGGGTGAAAAGAAAGGGGATGCTAGGGAGTTTCTTTCCCTTTTTCTGTACTTTTGTGCTGCATCTCTTTCATCGTTCTGATTCCAGTTAACAGTTCTACCTTTTCCTATCCCAGCTCCCTCAAGATTGCCTCCAATGACTCCAACACTTAGACTCCAGTAGGATATTCTTCCTTTGCTTTTATTAATATCTGGTTTGCCTCATTATTCTACTTGACTTTTTGTTCTCACAGTATTTCACAATAAGTGAAGAGCAGGTAAGTAGATTTTAATAACAACAACTATGATATATTCAAGGCGCTCTGGTAGTGGTTATGGGGTTGGGCTGCTAACCTCAAAGTCAGTAATTTGAAACTACCAGTCATTCCACAGGAGAAAGATGAGGCTTTCTGCTCCCTTAAAGCCTCAGAAACACTATGCAGGGTCACTAAGAGTCAGAACAAACTCAATGCACACCACAACCATTATACATTCAGGACTCCTGGTGTGGTGCTGTGGGCTAATGCACAGTCAAAGTCAAAGTCAGTTTGAACCACAAGGTCGGTGGTTCAAGCTCACCAGTCACTCCTCAGAAACCCTATGCAGGGTCGCTATGGGTCAGAACCGACTGATGGCACAGAACAACAACAACATTATATATTCAGGACTCTTGGTGTAGGATAAGCACCAGATTGTGAACCACAGAGTAGGCAGTCAAACCTACCAGCTGCTCCTCCAAAACTTTACACAGGGGTTGGAACCAACCTCCTAGACTTTACACTACAGGTTGGAACCAACTTGACAGCACATAACAACAACAAATTATATATTAAATGGAGTCTTGGTATGGCACTGAAAGTAAGTACTGGACTGAAAGTTCGTTTTGAACCACAAGTTGGCAGTTCAAACCCACTAGCTGCTCCTCAGAAATCATATACAGGTTTAATGGAGGCTTAATGGAGTCCTGGTGTGGTGCTGTGGGTTAATCATCTGGACTGCAAAATCAGTTTGAGCCACAAGATTGGAGGTTCAAGCTCACTGATCACTCCTCAGAAACCCTGTACAGAGTTGCTATGGGTAGGAACCGACTCAAAGGCACTTAACAACAACAACATGAGGCATCACTGACTCAACGGCACTAAACAAGAACAGTTGTATATTCATAATGTTGTGACTCTGTAGGATAAGCACTGGACTGCTAACCACAAGGTTGGAAGTTTAAGCCCACCAGTCACTCCACAGGAGAATGCCTCAGAAACCCTGCACAGGATGGCTATGAGTTGGAACCGACTGGATGCTCTTAATAGCATTATATAGTCATAGAATAGAATGTTACTCATATTAAAAGGAATAAACTGCTGATATACATAATAACATAGATGGTCTAAAACATAGTGAGCAGACTTCCAGTTGGCATAATTTCTCTGCTGCATGTGACTTTGTCTTTCCAATTTTAACATATTTAACAAGTCTAAATGCTTACAGACTAAGTGGGAAAGGAAGATGCGTGCTAAAAAGAGAAAACAGAATGCCCCAAATAACTTCAACAAAGTTAAAACTATTCTCAAAGTAGATGGTGATGTTTTAATAAAAAGTATTCAAGAGATAACAACCATTGTGATACGGAAACATTGCCAAGAGAAACTGCAACATGAGGTGAACAAAGAAAACGATGACATGAAAATAGAGACTGATATTAAGAGAAACAGAGTCTTCTAAACCAGCATGGACAGTGTCCACTACGTATAACCTGAGGCAAAGAAAAGAGTTGAAGACAAAGTGAGAGAAAGGGAAGGGAAAAAGCAAAGCAAAAGTGGAAGGCAGCGAAATATTTCGCTTGTAGACTCTTAAAAACCGGGGAAAATGCTACATGGGTCAGATATTTAGTATAAAAGGTATTGATTTCAGCTTCCATCAGATGAAAACTATACTTTGACTTTTCTTTGATTTGAATCCAATGTAACTGTGAGACCAAGAAGAATCCATTTTGCACATAGGCTTAAGCACGTCCTCTGGTTCCAGAAAAAAATCACAAAAATGTGCCATGTTTATATTATATATTTATAAATAGCCCTCCATCCTCAGCAATAGTCAAAATAGCCATTAGGTTAATGCTAGATGTTTCCCCTTATCTTAGCCTAGCAACTTAGACCACCAGTAATAACCAATTAGATTGTAACATTTCATACCTTGCTAAATACCAGCCAATCCAAAAATTATAAAGCTGAAAAACCCCAAGCTTGCATAAAAACTCTATAAAAACACTGCAAACTGGGAGTTCGGGGCTTCATCCTAAATCTGTTGCGTCAGATGTGGATGGAGTCCGAGCTCGAGCTTGAATAAACAATCTTGTGTACTTGCATCGGCATCGGCTCTTTGGTGGTCTTTGGGGACCCCGAAATCTGGGCATAACAGTAACTTGTTTGTTTTGATAACTTGAATGCTTTCTTTGGCAAATGAATGTGATATTAATACTTTAATTGAATGCTTTCTAGTAATACATATCAGACAAGTATTAATCTGATTATAACTGTTTGTTTTTAATAACCTGATAATTATAGTCAGCAAATCTAAAATATTATTTACTGACAAATTTAACCTAACTCAGATTTACATAAAGCTATTATGCAAACATGATTAAAAAATATACCGTCATTGGATCTTATAAGTGGTGCTTGTTTGGAGTTTTGAGTTTTGTATAATTCATAATAAAAGGTGTTTTGTGTGTAGAACACAAACATAGTAAGCAAAAGAAGATGTGGACATAAGAGTAGATACTGTGTAATTTTATTTATATGAAGTCCTGGTGTGGCGTTGTAGAGGAAGCATTCAACTGCAAGGTGAGTTTGAACCTCAAGGTCGGTGATTCAAGCTCATCAGTCACTCTTGCGAAACCATACACAGGGTCACTATGGTAGGAACCGGTTCAGCAGCATTTAACAACAAGGTAGACATTGGTGGCACTGTGGTCAATCACTTGGATTCTAACCAGAAGATGGTGTGGTCGTGGTAGAGTGCTGTCGAGTCGGTACGGAAGGTAGGCTATTCAAAGGCCACCAGTCTTTTTGTGGGACAAATGTGGCAGTCTGCTTCCATAACAATTTGTTGTTGTTAAGTTCTGGGGGGGGCACTCTGCTCTGTTCCATAAGGTCTCTGAGTCAGAATCTACTCTATGTTAATGGGCTTGGGTTGATTGTGGTTCAAGGTAGGCAAAACTAATCTATGCTTGACAGAGTGGATTTGTGGTTACCTTCAGTGGGGAAAGGATTGTTTCCAAAGGAACACGTGGAAACTTTGGAGATGATGAAAATGTTCAGTACTTTGATTTTTGTGGTGCATACATTTGTCAAAATTCATCGGAATGTACACTTAAATTGAGTATATTCATTTCATGTAAATTGTATTTCAATGAAGCTAATTTTTAAAAGGTAACCAAAAATTTGATAGAAGTGGGGCAATGATCACATTTTCAGAATAGTCTTAAAGGTGTAAGTTACCACTGGATAATTCTAATGTGATCATATTTGCATGTTAGAAAATCATTCTGTTGGAAAAAGTGACTAGAGACAATGACTTGAAGAGTTTATTAGTGGTATATGACTTCTGGGCATATGGGGCATGTAAGACCATTTATCATAAATGTGTTGTGGCACCCATCTGCACATAAGTATGATTTTCTCTAGAGTACTCAGCAGAAAGAAAAGGGAAAAGAAAAAGACTGTAGGAAAAAGGTGGTAGTGCTAATCTATGGTTAGGGTTTTATCACCTGGAAAAAAAATGTAGTAGAGAAGCAACACAGCAGGGCAGCTCCTAAAGTGCTTAACGTGATGAGATCTAAGCAGACAGGAAGCTGATAGGTTGGAAAACCAGTAAGGTCTCAGGAGAGGAAAGATCATGATAAGATAAGAAGGTAGGGGTTGGAGAAGGGAGGGAGAGGTTGTGATCAGTGGCATATTTAGAGTGATGACAGATTCCAAGGGATTTTTTTTTTTTAAGTAAGCTATAGAATGAACACTGAAATTATATAATCCAGTGAAAATGGTTTGTTGTTGTTGTTGTTAGGAGCCATTGAGTTGGTACTGACTCATAGTGATCCTATGCACAACAGAACAAAACACTACCAAGTCCTGGAACAACCTCACACTATTGTCACGCTTGAGCTCATTGATGTTGTCACTTGGCCAATCCATCTCATAGGGGGTCTGTCTCTTTTTCTCTGACCCTCCACCTTACCAAACATGATATCCTTCGCCAGCGACTGGTTTCTCCTGACAATATGTCCGAAGTATGAGAGACGAAATTTGGTCATCCTGGCCTCCAAGGAGCACTCGGGCTGCACTTCTTCCAACACAGATCTGTTGGTTTTTTTGGCAACCCATGGCACTTTCAATATTTTCCTCCAACACCATAACTCAAAATGCATCAATTCTTCCGGCTTGAACTTCGGTAAATTCTCTCTCAATGTATGCTTGCAGCCATTTCTGTATTACCTTTAGTAAAACTTTACTCTCATAGGATATAATTCTGTGAACAGGGTAAAGTATATGAAAGTGTGTATAGTGCTGTTATTGTTGTTAAGTGCTGTTAAGTTGTTCTGACTCAAAGAGACCCTGCGTAGGGTTTCTGAGGAGTGGCTGGTGGGTGTGAATTGCCTACCTTACAGTTAGCAGTTTAGTGTTTATTCTACCAAGACTCCTAGGCTACCATATAATAAAAGGGGAAGATCTTTTAGATTTATTTACTTGTAAGTACAATCTTGTTGTTAAGTGACATTGAGTCAGTTCTGACTCATAGTGACCCTGTGTAGCGTTTCCAAGGAGCGGCTGGTGAGTTGAAATTGCCTACCTTGCAGTTCAAACCAACCTTGAGGTTGAGTGCTTATCCTATAGCACCATACCAGGAATGCAGTAAAATATTACTAGAAGAAAATACAGAAACCTTGTAAGATTTATTGATTTTGTGGGGGAAAACTAGGTATCTGGGAGATACAGAGGAAAGAATATTTTTT